AATGTTAAACCGTTCCTGTTATACCTGATTTTTAGGACCTTCAAGCCTGTAGTTTTGTTCATTATCAGTTGGAGCCCCTCCTCACTGTTCTTCTTCTTTGGTGCAACCCTATAAACAGTGCACCCCTTTGGCCTCTCCCCTTTTCTACAATTCCCCTGCGGGGGAGTCGGTGTCCTTCCCAACACTGCAACACATAATGTATATTTAGCCACGCTGATATTTCTGATTGTGTGTCTTTGCTAGATGCTGTAAATGTAAATGTGTCACATGTGTTATAGGCACAGTTAATGCTAGCATGAATAGATCGTTCTTGCTAGCTTGGGAGTTGTGGTGGGTTGAGCTGAGCCTCTTCACTACTGTTTGCATTTGGTTGTAGGAGTTGGAGCGAGATCTTTGTTTCTTTTCAACGCAGGAGCACACCGGCTACACAAAGCCCGGGCTCGTGAGCAAAGTCTCAACGTTCACTTTTAGAGCTTTCCTAAGACTAAGTGATGAACGACAGTCACTGCACGATTCTGGAAAACTTTTAAATACAAAATAATACATCTGAGTTTTATAAAATAAAACCAAACAATGCTGTACAGTGAAACGACTGTGAATATGGCCGTTGAGCATCCACACCGTCCCTTCCCCTTCTGTCCGTAACCCAGTGACGCAGAAACACGGTTAAAAACTAACAGCCAGGATTCAGCTCAGAGTTTCTGCAGGAAGCGCAGCACCAGGTCCCTGAGCGTGGTCCTCAGCGGCTCGCTGTCACAGACGATATGCGTCCCGTCCTCCTCCAGCTGAATGAGCGTGTCCTCCGCCTGCAGGTGCAGGATGTGCCCGTCTGCAGTTTCCTCCACTTTAACCTCTGTGATCCCGTGCTGCAGATGAGCACAGAACAAGTTAACATCAAGAGCTAATATCACAGCACACCGACAGCCCGCTCGCTCAGATTTCCCACCTTCTGCAAAGTGGCCAGAAAAGCCTCCAGGGCCACAGCTCCACTCAGCATGGGTTTAGGGGCCAACGCTACGGGGGGCTCCTCAATCACACGCTTCCTCTTCTTGCTGGGGGGCATGGGAGGGGGTTTGGGCACCGACTGGGAACAAATGAAAGAAAAATGCAGCTGAGCTCTGATCAGCTGATTCTCTAATGGAAGTGCAAGTGTTCTGGGCTCACCTGTAACGTGTGCTTGTTGTCCTTTGAGTGCAGCAACGCAGACACGGTCGCCACAGAGACGCCGGGTTTGATCTCCGAGGGCACCAGCGAGTTGGCCAGCTAGGAAGAGAAAAATACGACTCTTAGCTTTCTGACAGCGAGAAGATTTGTCAATAAAAACAGCTGATCAAACGCCACGTTGTCATAGTGATCAGAGAATCCACCATCTGTTTCTGAAACAACAGATACTCTGTGGCCAGAAACTCAGATCCATCTCTGAGGAGTTTTTTTGACTTCTCTTCGGGGCCTCACCTCAGGCAGGATGTAGATGCGTTCGTAGCGGCGTCTGAAGGGCAGGTTGAGAACAGAGCAGCGTCTGTAGGGCATCGGAGGCGGCTGCAGCTCCAACATCAGGTCGGAGCGGTGGGACTGGGTCAGAGGAGGCTGGGTGTACTGCTCGGGACACACCACGTGGAGAGGCTGCAGGAAGAAGACACGGCTGTAGCTTCAGAGTACAAATGTGAG